CCAAGTCGAGACACAAGACACTTATCGAGGACACCATCAACGAGCTCATCAAAAGGATGTCCAGGTATGTCAAGGTCCCTGACCGGCCAACTCTGAAGAAAGRTGGGAAGAAGAAACTAAAGCTCTCTGATCCTAATGATGGACCATTCCTAAGGAACGAACATGAAACAAGGTTCTCTTTAGATGAAGTCCTGAAGGGTCATATGAGATAAGACATTTCTATGTTGAATCTTGACTTGCCGGATAAGGGGTCCATATACACCCAACTCTGTGCATTTTAAACCTGAGTTAGGGGTTATATTTCTTGACTATGAAGGTGAAGTCAGATTTCAGAGAATGTCAGAGCTACATCTATGTCCAATGGTTCACTTGGTTTATCTTTTGCTCTGGATAGATGATAGCATGCCTGGAAGAGTCGTCAATTTGAAGATACGAAGGGAATTCCTACATCGAAGAAACCTTAGTGAAAATGTACCTGATTACATAGATCTAAGTGTTCTAGAATAAGATTCTCTTTGTAACAACAATCCATTTTTTCTTGTAAATCCTTGTACCATGTCTTCTTTCATTAATTGTATTTACATTCTGTAAATTCTGAACATGTACTGTAATACTTGCATTATTTCATATGTTAAATAATATAAGTATTCCATGTACTTCACTGAAAAAGATCCCTGAAAAAAATAATAGGCACACAAGTCTATGAGTTCCAATGTTACTTTTCCCATTCACTGACAGTCTATAAGTCAGTGAATAAGCTTTCAGTTTCAGTTTTCGTACTTATAATTTTCTTAGATATAACTTAAGAAAACTTCTCAAGCTGAGACTGACCAAACTAAAAAAGATCCCAAAATAGTAAAAAGGGACATGTACTTCATATGTAACTTTTTCCTTACTATTATTTGATAAGATAATTTTCTTTATGTTATCTTGTTATCATCAAATAGTGGGAGATTGTTGATCCTCTCTCTCAGTGATTTGATGATAATCCATTTTCTCTTTCATGTTGTATTTGTGTTTCTGTATTTTCAGTTCCAGCGATCTTCACTGAGTATGTTCAGTAATCGCTGAAGAACTTGCATTGTAAATCTATCAGAGACAGCAATATTTCAAGAAGACAACACTCACACCAAGGAACCTTCAGCAAACGTCAAAGACTGAAACTGAAGATTAGAGACAGGCGAGTACGTGATCTGAAGCGGTATTCAGTGATTACAAGCCTGTCTACATATGTGTGAAGATTGCTCTAGCTTCAGCGAATGATGATGAGACCTTCAGGTCATTCCAGCATTCAGCGATCAAAGGAAGCTTGCTTAGCACGATTGTTGTTGTCTTGTCCTTATGCACACAAAGGACAAAACCCATACCCTTACAAAAGTTAGTACGGTACGGAGCCGATTAGTCGACTCTTTGTCCACCAACTTTAGGTAAGGATGTCTGCTCAGAAATAGTGCTTTTGTACTATTCACTGTAGCAAAGGACAAGCCTTCCTCTTAAGGTTTGACACGCACTCTAAGCCTACCATATTGCATTAAATGGTCATTTAATGCACTGGATATAAATAGAAGTGTTTCTTCTCCATGCAGAGGGCGCGCATCTCTCTCTAACCTTATTCTTACTTCAAGCATCTTCTAGCTTAAGTAAAGGATCTTTTTTTAGCAACTTCTTTTCTTGTAATTGCTAAAGCTTTGTGTGTAACCAAAGATTGTTTAGATAGGTTTTTATTACCTTATCTTTCCGCAAACAATCTTGTAAAATCTGTATTGATCTTCTCTATCAATATATATTTTAAATTTGAAAATATTGTGTTCGTATTCAACCCCCCCTCTACAAACTGTTTCTCTTCTTGTAGACCCTTACGGGACCAACAATATCAACCCTAAAATCTATGTTTCAGTTATAGGCTTGGCAGGAAAGGTTTGACATAGTCAGTGTATTGCATGTCTACATGATGATTGAGGGTTCATCAGTTAGTCCCCACGTTTTAAAAATGAAAGGGCATATTGACCGATTAACATGCCTGTCTTCCCACTAGATAAGGAATTGGCAATTGATATGGTTCTCAAGTCCCTACCTAAATCATATGACCAGTTTTTTTTATTAACCTGGATATCCAACCCGCTATGTGAGCCGACTAATCCCAGAGCGACCACCTGCTTTGCAGATAGTCCGGAGTCACCGCATTTGAACCTCTGTGGCCACAAGGGGATTTTTATTCCTCCTTGGATTTGAACCCAGGATCTCCTGGTACTTTTGACCTTTGGAGTCAAGCTCAAACCAATCAGGCACCACCCTTATGGTTTATGACCAGTTTTTTATGAACTACAATATGAACGGTGTGGATAAATCTCTCACAGAGCTTCACAACATGCTTAAAACTGCTAAGAGAAGTATAAATTCCAAATCGAGAGTATCCGAACCAAAACATGTTCTGATGATCAAACCTAAAAGTGGGATAGCCAAAAAGAAAAGAGTGGTTCCCAAGGGTAAAACAAAGGTTGGAAGTTCCAACAAGGATAAGAACAAGGGAAAGAGACGCAGTCTGCTTCAATTGTGATCAAAAGGGGCACTGGAAGAGAAATTGTCCAGCCCTACTAGCAGAGCAAAGAAGAAGAAGGCTACTGCAGCCGGAACTTTAGGCATGTTTACCATTGATTTGTTCATTTTCAATACAGATTCTTGGGTATATATTGGATACCGGATATGGTACTCATATTTGTACCACTTTACAGAGACTAAGAAGTGAAGAGAGATTGAAACCATGCCAGATGGAACTAAGAATGGGCAATGGAGCTAAGGTAACTAGCAATTGCTCAAGGGACATATGATATGGAATTGTCAAATAGCCTTACACTATCACTTAGCAAGTGTTTATATGTACATAGCATTACTAGGAATATAGTTTATTTTTCTCAATTACAACAAATTGGATTTATGTTTACTTTCAGTAATAATTCAATTTTTGTTTTCCTTAACAATGTTTTGTCTTTTGTGGCTAAACCACACAATGATATTTATGAAATTGATATGCTAAACAACTGTAATTATGAGTCAATATACAACATTAACAATAAAAGAATTAAGCGAGGCTTAAATCAGACTTACTTGTGGGATCATCGTCTTGGACACATAAACAAGAAACGCATAGCTAAACTCCAGATGGACGGAGTATTAGAATCATGTGATGATTCATATGATACATGTGAGTCTTGTTTATTAGGCAAGATAACAAAAGCACCTTTTAAAGGAAAACTTGATAGGGCTACAGAACTGTTGTACATTGTGCTTTTGTACTATGCTTAGATTAACATGTTGTACATGTTTTTATACCAAGAAAAGAAGTAAGAGAATTGGTGAGCCAAATTTGCTGGTTAAGTTTAAACTTAGGGATGGCAAAAAAAAAAACCGAAACCGACGGTGAAAACCAAAAACAAAAACTTTTGGGCCGGGATCGGGGACATTTTATCGGGGACGGGGTGGGGATCGGGGACGAATTCGGGGATTTTAACGGGGACGGGGGTAGGGACGGTGATCACTGGTCCGGCCCGATATGTATATATATATATATATATATATATATATTAATTTATATACATACATATATATATGTATATATATAATATCATTAAAAAAAAGTAACATTAAAATTTAAAAAAAGTCATCCACTTTACCTCAACAACCCAAATAAAGCTCACGAAAAAGTCTAGTTTATTTATTTAAAATCGTGATTTTAGTTGTATGATGTTTGAATTTCTGTTTAGTTTTATATTGTAATATAATACATTATTTGTAATTGGTTCGATTATGTTTGAGACATTAATTAAACTTAGATCTTTAAAAAAATTGTAATTTACTTTTAATTGTGAAAATTAACATATTGTAATTTTTTCCATATCGGTTTCGGGTTTCGAGTTCGGTTCTAACCAACGGTGAAAAAGAGAATTTTTACCCTTAACGGATTCCCCAACGGGGATCGGGGAAACTGCGGGGACCCGATGGGGATCCCCGATAAGATCCCCGACGGGGATCGGGACGGTTACGAGGACGGTTTTAGCTATCGGTTTCGGGGACGGGGATACCAATACCCGGCCCGAACCCGGCCCGTTGTCATTCCTATTTAAACTTCAAGATTCGGCTTGCCAATAGTAGTATTTGTCGGACTACTAGTTGAATTTTATCTTGTATTGATCTTCTTTCGGCTAGATGAAAAACCAATCCGCTTTGGTAACGATCTTGACCTCATTTCACCTATTCTTTGATTTTATTTATAAAAAAATTTGTTCTTGGATCAATACATACATTTATAAGATTTTTACAGGTAAAAATCATATCTTTAACTATATCCAATATATAAGCTATACATTGAATTTACTAGCTATAGAATACTGTAAAAAAGCTTCATCAGATAAACTATGAGTACAGTGAGACTGGAATTCTTTATCCCATAGAAGAATCAATCGGATTAGGAGCAATGAATGTTTAGATTAAACTCAATTGTTCAAGGATACATTCGATGAGTGATATATCTGAATTCTTTAAACAACTGGATAGAATTTTATATGAGGTAATATCCGATTAGTGAAGTTTATCGGATATGTACCTTGTAAACAAGGTAAACAAAAATGTTTTCGTCTAAGTGTTTTGCCGAATATTATGTTTATTATATACAAATCCGATGGTTAAGACCAACAATAATTTAGTTAGGTTGTTATGACATTCCGTTTAATTAGATGAGAGTCAGTAAGGTTTGATTTACATCTTCGTAGTGATGATGAGCGTGTTGGAGGTTAAATAATTATACCTAATACCATTTCCATCCTTGGCGGTAAAAACACCAAATATGGTGGACTAAATTTGTGGACCCCATATTAAAATAAACATATTTTATTTACTATTAAACAAAAAGATATCTGAAAATATAAACACGGTCAAAATTCAAAGAAATGACATGTGAAATATGAAAATTGAAGCAAGAAAACGCTTACGGATATATTTATCTTCAAATACAACATCATATTTATAACGGGTTCATCTAAATCATTAGGCGTTTGAAAAGCCACGTCTTGCCTTAGTTAAGAACTCGCTTAACAACCCGTTTATGATAATTAGTCAACGACGACGGTCGTTTTCTCCATCGTTAAAGTTTCGATTCCGCTTTTAATGTATAACCCTTGCCGAACCACTATAGAATCGATGTATATACGTATAACAAGAAAATAGTAATGGAGCTACACAACCACATGTGTTGTGTTGTGAAGGGGTGATGGGCTTCCACTTGCTGGTTCCACCTTTCCCATCATAAACCCTGGTGGTGGGTGAAAGCTTCCATCTTCATCGTGATAAACATAAGCAAAACCGCCATGTCTGGTCATGTCCATCCCTGCCATTTCATCTTCTTTAGAAACCCTCAATAAGTTGAGTTTTTTCAAGAGATAGAAAAGTGGGGCCATGGTGGCACTCACCCATCCAACAATCACCAGTATTTGGATGATCTGGGCTGCCAGCAACTTCCCTCCGCCGCCCATGAAAAGCCCGTACGGCCGGCCGGAAGCGTACACCTCATGAACATACTGTTTCTTAGCAAACAACCCTGTGAATAACAGCCCCCACGACCCACAACCGCCGTGTAGTTGTGCCGCCTCTAGTGGATCATCGTATTTGAACTTTTCTGCTAGGATGTTGAATCCGATCAGAACCCAAGCGGCGATAAAGCCACAAACGACTGCAGCCCATGGCTCGACCACCGCACAGCCTGAGGTTATGGCGGCGAGACCTCCGAGCAAGCCATTACAAACGTCGGTGACATTCCAATGGCCGACTAGTAGTCGTTTGCTAAACAAGGTGGTTAGTGCGGCGGTGCAACCAGCCAAAGTGGTGGTGACGGCGGTTCTTCCGATGGCACTCCATTGACCGTAATATTGATTCGAAGTGTTGTATGATTTAGAGATTGTGAGGAAAGAACCAGGGTTGAAACCATACCAACCGAACCATAAAAGGAAAGAACCCAAAACCACAAGTGAGGCACTGTGGCCTCGTAGAGCCACAGACCGGCCGGAACGATCAAACCGGCCAATTCTTGGACCTTCGATCAACGCACCCCAGAGTCCAGCGATCCCACCCACCATGTGAACCACACCCGAACCAGCAAAGTCAATAGCTCCTGAACCCAACAAGAGGCTGCCACTGGTTCGGGAGGCACTAGCCCAACCATCACTAGACCACACCCAATGTGAAACTATCGGATACACAAACCCTGTAACCATTTAAAATCAAACAAATTCGTCAAATATCTTACAAAGCATTTTTGTAATGAATAAATTCAAAGAAAATAGAAGGTGAAAAGTAGAGAAGGAGACCTGTCAAGAAGGAAGAGTAAATAAGGTATGCCACAAACTGAGTTCTTTCAGCAATGGAGCCACTGGTAATACCCGCAGCTGCTATGGCGAATGCCCACTGGTACAGAAAGAAACTATAGTCGTAAACATCCGATGGGATCGATTTCAGCCCGAAGTAATGTTTTCCGATGAAACCATTGGAAGGTCCACCGAAGGCGAAAGCGAATCCGAATACGTAATACGAGAGGCCACCAGCCGCAGCATCCAGAACGTTGGTGAGCATGATGTTCATGGTGTTCTTGGCGCGAACCGACCCTGCGCAGAGCATGGCGAACCCGAGCTGCATTGCGAACACGAGATAGGCGGAAAAGAGGAGGTAGGTGTTATCGATGGCATATGTGGTGTTCGTGAATTTGTCGGAGGTGGCGGTGAAGCGTTCGCATATGTAGTCAGCTGCGGCGGTGGCATTGGCGGCAAAGCCGAGGAGAGGGGTTAGTTCCGCGGCGGAGCAGGTGGGGAGAGCTGCCATGGTGGTGGAGGCGATGGGTGTTTGATGGAAGGGGAGTGGTGTGTGAAGTAGGGTTTTTATAGAGCAAGAAAGCAAATCATAAACCAGAGAAAATGTAAGATTTTTTATATTATTTTTTTCCAAAAAAAAATTTAATAATTAATATTAAGGAAAAAGAAATATTTATTTAATTATTTTTCAAAAAGACAAGCTTTTGTTGTTTGAAAATTTGTTAAAACAATAAATGAATATATTAAATATTTTAATAATATAATTAATTATAAAAAATGTAAAAACGTAAATTAATTATTTTTAATATATTATAGAGAATTTTTTTGGAGGTGTTCGTCCTTCTATTTTAAGAAATACGAATACTTTAAATTAAAGATTCCAAAAATTAAAATCTCAAAGAAAATTGTACGCAATTTCAATAGATTCTTTATTTGTAGTTTTAACGTTAATTGGTTTAAATAAGAAAAGTAAAAACACTAAATTTATGCAAAAAGAGACGATTTAAATGTGAATTATTGGTAAATTGGAAAAAAAATCTATTTAAATATGTATATATGTGAAATCATGTTTGTTTATTTATTTTTTCTTACCAATTATTCATATATAAAAAAAAATGCATATGTAAAAGTTGGGTTTTTTTAATCAATAATTTACATATGAATTACTATTTTTATGTTGATACGTTTTTGTCTTTCTTATTTGAACAGTGTCCTATTAAAATATTATATATTTTATCTTCTTAATATGTTTTATATTTTACCATTAATGAAAAAGAATTTAAAAATCATTTCTCACTTTTCACCATAAAATTAGAGAAAGGTGGTGTTTTTGGACATTAAGAGATCGTCTACCTAAATGCTTATCCGGTAAGTGTTTATCGGTAGGAGTCAATGCTATAATCTATTTTACCATATAAGATTGTATTATATTAAAACGGTATCGTATGCAACAATTTATTCGGTAAACGCTTACTCGGGTAAGAGTTTTACCATCACTTACAGGGTAAGACTCTCTATCCATATCATCGTTCTTACCGAGTAAGATTTCCAGCTCTTGCCATATACATCAGGTGAGGAAAGTTACTCAATCCACACTTACCGGGTAAGTATTTAGTAAACGGCCACTAATGGTTGGTATTCAGCTCTTAATACCTCTGAAGTTTGATTCGGTCAAACGTTTTTTTGTCTTAAGAACGTTTGTTTGTTTTTTTTTTTTGTTCAAGTAAGAGCTTAAACCTAAAACACAAGTCTCTTATAAATATTATTTGAGAAAATGTCATAAGACACAAGTGTTTTATAAAAAGATGTATGTATAAAATAACTAATAGATCACCTTATTTTATAAACGTTCTAAAAAATTTGTTAAAACACTCAAAAACATCCTATAAACTCATTGTAACATTTTTAAATATAACCATTTGTTGTCTGGTACGTCCTGTAACATAGATTATTACAACACCTAAACATTTTTAACATCTTATAAACCTGAATTTGTTGTAATGATTGATATCATCGTTAAAATATACAGATATTTATGTATACAGTAGTCGAAATTAGCATTTTTACCATATTCCCACTTTTTACCGTAGATCGATATACATCTTGATTGGTTTGCTTGAGCCACGAGCAAAGACAAAACGGCTAGCCTCTTTGAATCTCTTGACCTACGAATCATTATGGTTTACTAGGGTTTTACGAAATTTCCATCGGTACAGAATAACTTTCCTTACCCCGGATATGGATTAATCATCACTAACGGATTGCCGATGGATTTTTCCTTTGGTGATTGAAAATCAGTCAGTAATCATATGATCATCACCCACACTTTCTCCAACGATGAGATCCGCCGGTAATAGCTTTTTTTCAACGGATAATCAACAGATATTCCTGTCGATGAAGCCTTTTCGTTTTATTAGTGTGTAGCATCAAATGTTTTGACTAGTTTATGATCTATTGGGATTAATCAAATTTTGTGCTCCCACTACAACAAAATTGAGTTTATATAGAACACCCCCAATCTCTAAATGGCCCAATAGACCGTTTTATAGGACTTAATTTATAGAACCAAAACATAAAGTGACTTATCTAAAGGTGTTCTAATAAGTTTATGTGATGCTTTTGGGCATTTTTTAGAACATTTTTAATACAAAGTGTCGCATTAACAAATTTATAGGACATTTTTGAGAAAAATGTCTTATAAACTCAATTTTTGTAGGACATTTGTTTTTATAGGACAATTTTTCAAATAGTATCCTATAAAGTTGCTAATAAGACATTTTATATTAAAAGTGTTCTAAAAAACTTATCACGACATCAAAAAAGGTCATATAAACTTATTACAACGTCTTTAGATAGAACGTTTAATTTTTTTGGTTCTATAAACTACGTCTTATAAAGAGGTCTATTAGGACGTTTAAAAATTAAGAGTGTCATATAAACCCAATTTTATTGTAGCATATCTAAAAGAAAACCATAAATGCATGGAGGTTGCATAACAAATAATATTACAAGTAATTCAGATGACATGCTGAATTCCAATTATGGAAAGCTCAAACAAGACCAAGAAGATTCATTTACTCAAGGTTCCTTTTTTCAAAAAAAGTGGTTATAAATATATTAAATACTAATAAAATATCTGCAATTCTTTTATATTTAATTAAAATTTTATATTATTTATGACTTTACTTATTATACAAATAACCCAATTTTGTACTTGAATTTCAAAGAAAATTAATATTATTTGTACTTGAAATTCAAAGAAAATTAATATTATTTGACTTTGAAATTGTGAAATAAGATTTAAATAAAACATTTGAAGATTAAAATCATTTTGTCAAAGAGGTTTTTAAATCATTGATTGTTACTCTTATAAAGTTTGATAGTTAATTATTAAATTAAATTAGTATTTCACTGCAACAAAATCGGGTTTATAGGATACTTCCAATCTCTGAACGTCTTAATAGACCTCTTTATAAGACTTAGTTTATAAGACCAAAAAAATAAAGTGTTATATCTAAAGGTGTTGTAATAAGTTTATATAACGTTTTTTGACGTCGTAATAAATTTTTTAAGACATTTTTAATATAAAGCGCCCAATTAACAACTTTATAGGATATTATTTAATTTATGTCCTATAAAAACAAATGTCCTATAAAAAATTGAGTTTATATGACACTTTTTCAAAAGTGTTATAAAGTTGTTAATTAATGCGACACTTTGTATTAAAAATATCATAAAAACCTTGTTAAGATGTCCAAAAGCGTCATATAAACTTACTATAACACTTTTAGATATGACGTTTTATATTTTGGTTCTATAAAGCGATCTATTGGGATGTTTAAAGATTGGGGGTGTCTTATAAACTCAATTTTGTTGTAGTATTTTCTTTTTATTTTAAAAACATATTTTCAAATACTTTATTTTAATGAATATTATATATGTATTTTAATGCAATTAAGAAAAATTAAATTATGTATTCAAACAAATTAGAAATTATTAATAGTGATTGAACATAAAAAAAAACAAAACAAAACACATTTTATTTTAATACAATTCAGGGGCTGTTTACCAAATATTTTAACAAGTCCTGTATGGATAAATTTGTCTGTCTGTATAAATGGGTATTGTTGTTTACTTTTTTTATTTGAACCAACAGTCTAAATAAGATAAATGACCAATTTACCCCCCCCCCAATATTAATTATTTGAACATGAAAATAAAAATCATAAAAAGGCTGACAATGGGTTGTCTCATTTGGGAAGGAGGCGGTGCTTTAAATAAGGGATATGGATGTCATTTTTGTGGTTAAATAGGGACAACAAACCATTTATATATGTGCAATTAAGTCATGTTCTGTACGAATAAGCCGTAAATAAACAACTCAAATGAGCTGTGAGAATAAGCCAGATAGACCAATAAACCTAATTAAGTCGCAATTAAACAAACCCTTACCCTTAATTAATAAAAAAAATCTCTATAAATACTTAATAATATTGTGGTTTCTTTTTAATTGGTGGTGACAGGTTTGTGACAATGAAAGCAACCATCATGCATTTGATTAGTTTATGTGTTTGGGTTGCCTTCTCAATTAGCAAGAGGCTGCTTAAATTAATCTATTTATTAATTTAAATTATTGTTTTTTTAATCAAGATTAAGAATCTTTGAAGTTGATTAAACGGTAATTATACATCATCTATCGTTTAACCGAACAGTCATGTCCAGAATTGATATCATAAGATGATTCCATAAAGATGGTGTCCGATTGGTTTGAACTTGCGCTCCAAATGTCAAAAGTGCTTGGAAGTCCCAAGTTCAAATCCAAGAAGAAATAAAAATCTCCTTGTTCAAAAGTGCGCTGACTCCAGACTACCCGCAAGGCAGATGGTTGTCTGAGATTAATCGACTCACATAGCGGGTTGGATATCCAGATTAATCAAAAAACCCAGTTTAAAAAAATCGATTTTAGAAAGTTTTTCTTACATAATAAAGAAAAATTATTAAAGTTTTTTTAATATGTCCTTTTTTGAAGCATAATATGTCTTATTATAAAGACAAAAAATTGAGTCTTTAAAAATAAAATTTTATAAAATAAGAATTAAAACAAAATACGTTATATTTTTATTGTACTCGAATTGGATCTCATGGATTTAATCGATCATATACCAAATTATTGAATGGATGGTGTCTGATTGGTTTTAGCTTGGCTCCAAATATCAAAACTACTAGGAGGTCCCAGATTCAAATCCAAGGAGAAATAAAAATCTTCTTGTGGCCACGGAGGTTCAAATGCGATGACTCCGGACTATCTGCAAAGCAAGTGATCGCTCTGGGATTAGTCGGCTCGCATAACGAGTTGGATATCCAAGTTAATCAAAAAAAAAATTGAAATAAATACAGAATTTATTGTTTTTTATACGTATTATTTATTTATTGATGAAGAGAATCTCACCTACGAATTAAATTGTTTGAAGAAAAAATTATTTCCCAAAAGGCAAGGTTGACTTTTTAAAA